CTTTTGTTGTAAATTCTATAACTTTGCAAAGAAAGGTCATGTGGAGTTGGGAGAGGTCTCATTTTAATCAGAAATGTGCGGGCTACAATCATGCCTCATTAAGAACGGTTCGGGTTATTTTTTAGGGTTTCTGAAAAACTCGTTTTCTAGAAAACCAGGTCTTCGAAGGGCTATAAGGAAGCCGCATGGTCGTATTCGTAATCAGTATGGTCGATAACCTATAACCCACTAGATTCCGAGCAAAAAGCGTTTAATCATTTCGTGGGGTTCCCTCGTGAGTCGAACGCATCTATTCGAATTTATTTCGAACCGCGATTCTGTTTCAAACGCGTCCCCAGTGCAACATTTTTTGCGTCTAGATGCGTGCGACCTTTACGTTTTAGACGCACATGAAACACGATTCAGACGCGTTTTGATACAAAAAATATTCACATGGGTAGTATGAAATTAGATGGATTTTGATAATTGGACAATTGATACATGAGCTTGTAACACAGTCAACTGTAATGAGAAATGCAAATAATCAAATTAAAGTTTGCTCTTATTTAATAGCGTGTTTCTCTTAACGTTACAAAGCAACTAATTATATCAAATCTTTTTTCAATATTAAATAAGTTACAAAGGCATAAATATCGAATTGATTTGAAAGTTCTTTTACCTCTCGTTCGTACACATTCCAAAACTGTTCTAACAATGTTTCGACGGCTTCTTTTGAACGATGATTATTCTTTTCTAATGCCTCTCGTAATGATGGTTCGCCCCAGCTGCGCACAAATTGAGTTCGATCTTTTGCAAATTCATCCAATGTCAGCTCTCCTTGTTGAAATCGAGTACATATATCTGTTCTAACTTCGCACAATTTAGATTTGATTAACTTGAATGAAACTTTTTTAAATAAATCATAATCGATCAATTCTTCATCAGTACGATAATACAATGGAAGGGTATAATCGAGTAATTCTTGTTCTGTAATCGGTAATAATTTCGCACACTTGTATAAGAGTTGAAAAGCAATTTCAACACCATGGAGTCCTTTGTCACTTAAACAAGGAATACAAAGAATGAGTACACCACCAGGAAGAAGTTCATTTGAACGATGTTCCAAAAATTGTGTATAATCAAGACGAGCTTGTTGTTTAAATTTTTCGTATTCATCATTTAAAGCGAATAATGAAACACAATGATTCGATATATTGCATGGTTTACATGATATCCAATTAAGTGACGCAGAAGAGTAGCCGATAGATAGAGAATTCGATGGTAGACATTGTTCATAAAATGACCTACCATTTGCCAAACCAAAATAACTGCCATCTTTGTTGAGTAGATCGAAAAGTATCGCCCAATTATTCGTCGGTAAATCGTTATGCACGATGAGAAATGATCGTTGTTCATTTTTAGATGTTTTTAAATATTTAATGATTGCTTTCATGGCATAAATTGAATTTAAACCATGTGATGAGCCAAAATCAGCAATAATGAGTGCTTGCATTGATGATAGAGAAGAAAGATCGAGAAGATCAATTACTTGATGAATGAATGGCAGTGAAAGTTCAACTGCACGTATTTGTAGACTCGAATTCGAATTGTAAAAGTTGGTCATACCCTTGATTCTACCTGACATTTTGTTATTTTACTTGTGTATCAAACCTGTTAAGGAGCAAAAATAACAAAGAATGAGAGACGACAGACTTTTGTAGATGGTTTTTTGTTGTTTCTTTATCTTATTACGTAGGTGGTCTTACAAAAGAAAAAAACAAATGAAAGAAACCACGTTACTATCTTGTTGTGTTTTTCTTTTCGTCCTCTCCCGATTAGAGTAGAGTGAGTTAATTCTTCTGCCAATACGTATGTCTCTACGATATTCCATAGTCAAGCAGCATTAGATTTTGCTAGTAAAAGATTTGAAAATCCACATGATACATCAGTTGTATTTGCAATTGATATTACAGATAAGAACGAATCATTCAGAACCTTATGTTGATATAAGAAACTATAGTTATGATAGACATGAACGTGAAATACTATTTTCAATGGGTACAATATTTCGTATCAAATCTGCTGAACAGTATACCGAAACACTCTGGTTTATTAAATTAGTATTAATCACGACTGAAAGTGAATTAGCGTTAAAAAGTCTCCACTTTCCGAATAAAGATATAGGAGATAGATCAGCATTAGAGAAACTGGGCGATTTTTTGGAACGACAGGACGATTGTGAAAAAGCTATTCGCAATTACAAACTAATATTTTACATGAACTATTATTGAATCATTATGACGTAGGTGATGAAACTATAGAGATAACAACAGCAGCTATTTTTAATTCCATTGTTCAATTTTTACTTGAAATTCGACGTTTCGAAAATACAATAAAAATTGAACAATGGAATTAAAAATAGCTGCTGCTGTTATCTATAGTTTTAAAATTCTTACCCGTTAATAAGCGTAATATTGACTTTGGCCAGGTGGTTTTCTTGTGGCGGTTTTCTAGAAATCCTGCCAAAATCTTCACTTGCTCATGAATATTGAACCTAAACTAATCTGAAATTCGGATTCAGCATGTCATTTTATGGGTAATTTAGTATTTTTTCCCATTCCTGACCCTAGCCAGATGATAGAATCTTGACAGGATTTCTAGAAAATCGCCACAAGAAAAACCACCTGGCCAAAGTCAATACCTTGCCCCTTTTGTAGCACTAGTCGAGTAGTGTGTGGAGTAACAAGATCTCGAAGAACTGATGTGTAGTTTTCGAGGGAGGAGACCAGGAAGGGCCAAAGTAGGTCTCACGGTTACACTTACCATGAAGAAGTAAAAAGTACTAGAGACTTCATTATTGCGTCAAACAAATAAACTTGGAAGCCGCTTTCATTTGAATATAAATAGAGATATACTTCTTTCCGAGTGTCAGAGAAAAAAATCTAATTTGTGGATCGACATATGCAACTTTGTATGCTCTTTCTAGCTAGCAGTATGAGAACACTTGATAGTATTAGATAAAGTCAGATTTCGCTATTCGAGCACCCCTAAAACCGCTTCAATTCAGAACTTATGGCCGCGAAAAAGCTGTGTTCGGAATAAATCCGTCACTTAATCCGAACGAAATAAACATGTGTATAATAAAACGGTTAGTATACATAAACGAAAGCACATTTCTGAAATTTTTTTTTACAGATCGGTCGTCCTACTGATGGAGAACTTCGCATTTTAATAACTTTTGATTTCGTTAAGAAATAATGGAGTTACATGAACTTTACTCCACTTGAAAATTTTCCCGTTCGCATTAGGTACTTTCGCTCTACTTCAGATATCTGTAAGTACAGCAAAGCATATAAAGAGATATCTGAAAGATATCCGGCAAACATATCTTTTCCTTTTTATTTTATAGACAGACATTTGCTCACATTCGCCGAGAAGTGAAAAGATATAGATATCCCTTATTTGATACGACTTTATTCAAAATAATACTGCTGTATCAAATAAGAAATATCTGTCTTTTCACTTCTTGGCAAACGTTTGTAAATGTCTATAGCGAGTGTTCTTCTTTCTATAATGATAATGGTAAAGATATTTCTTCATTATTCCTCATTGTCTAACAAAACAGAAGGAAAAAATAAAAATAAACCGAACGGAAAAAGTTTCATTAGAGCACTAGCAAATCAGGAGATATCTCTTTTCGCACATGCCTATCTTTCTGTTCTCTTTCGTTTCAATCGACGCGCTGAGATGAAAAAATGTCCGCACACGGGATATCTTATGTGAAAAGAGATATCCTCTTATTTGCTAGTGCTCTATTCTATTGTTAGATTTCTTATTCGATGTAACGATTAAACATGTGAACATCTGTGATCTGTATTAGAACTGAAAGTGCATATCTCAAATATATCTGAGTTATAATAAAAAGGGGTCAGTGGAAAAAAGTCTGTTCTTTTTAGATGCCCTATCACCCTCACCCTCACCCTCACCACCCTCAACTTAGGGTCTTTGGCCGCAATTAGAACACAAAATTTCACGTTGACTCTTTTCTAATTTTTGAAGTCATTTCTAAAGGTGGAAAAAAGTTTTCAGTTTGCTAAGGAGAGTCAAAGCTATCGATCTATGTAAATGTATTTAAGGTTCGTTTGCTCAATTCTTATTAATTAAGACAAAAATGAAGGTTACTATGAATTTCTTTTCTTTTCTGTCTGCTTCTAAATACAATACGTCCATACAAATACATGGAGATTTTCCATCAAGTGGAAGAAAAGTCTTTTGCTTACAAAGTTCAACGAAAATGGCTTGTGAATTTCTCGCTAGTTTTAGTTTCGAATGTTATAAAGGAACTTTTTTCTGTTATATTCTAAAAGAATAAAACTTATATCAATTGTATGAACACTGACTCTATGTATACGCAAATATATCCTAAATAGAGAAAGAAGAAAGAAACACGTGAATGCTTTTTTTGCGTGAAGTCTATATTTCGTTGATACTTTTATATTTTGTTATATAGCCTAAATCAAAATATAGACCTATTATCTATACAAACGACATGAAATATGAGAGGAAAAGGGTGCATTTTTCTTTTTCAGTTGACACGCGCATCATAGACCCTATATGAAAGTGATATGAAAACTTGAGTAGGTTGCATAATAGCTTCATAA